ACTCATTTCTTCTGCGAGCATATCCCGAATAACTGAAAGGCTAGGATCGTTCTTGTTCACCCAGTGGGCACTAAGTCCCCACAGTGGCGGTGCAAGTGCACGCCGACACTATGATCGCTTGCAAGTAATAAAGTGGTAAAAAGTACCGAGATCGTTCCACAGGAAAGTGACTACTGAGATTCAGAGACTATTCATGAACTTCTTGCACGAGTTTCGAGTTGTAAATAAAAGTTGGATATTTGTTTATAAAAAGACCGAAAGAGGACCGACTAACGAAATAACGAAATAAACTTTTAATATTAAAGAATGGGCATGGGTGCAAGTGTTGCTTAAGATAAAATTAACAATAAAATGGTTAGACTTTTATGAGTTGTTTATAAAAATTCCAATCTCTCGAAAGTAAAAGGAATGCGATTTACCACTTCGAGACTTGCCGATCTAGCTAAAAAGTAAAAGGAATGCGATTCTTACCCAAATMTYTTTGTGAYAAGAATACCTATTGCTTAACCCCTAGCTAAATAAATACAAAATTCGCGTCTCCACGTAATTATCAAAGACTCTCTCGAGTTCTTTGTGCATCACTTAAGCCGTATTTCAGATCCGCCYATCTCTAGGTCTAAGATCTAATATTAACACTTCAAAGTGATCGGCTTATCTGCATCGAGTTTAAGTCCCGTCTTAAGCAACCAAATTACGAAGTGATAAAAGATAAAAACACCAAATATTATATAAACATCCTAAGTTAAACTCACACCCACACCCATACGAGTAATTTAGCTAGACATAATAAAACTAATGTAAGACATTAAATAATACTGAAATATAAATTGCGTAATATAAAACTAAATTACAAGTACAAGGAAATAAATACTAAATTACAACTAGAAATTAAAGACATTAACTAAAAACATAATAATAATAATAAAAGAAAGAAAAGAGAGAAGTGAGACACAAAAGGGGTTTTGTAACTTGCATGGTGTCTTCAAAAGAGCTCCCAATGCCTCATTTTATAGGAGGAGAAAGGGAGAAAGGACAACCAATGATTACCCCAAAGGTAATTAGTACAAAGCATAAAAAAATACAAATAAAATAAAATAGATACAGGAAAACAACTCATATACAACTGGAGAAAATATCTGAATGATTCTTCAAGCTGGACGTTTCCCAAGAAACAGAAACAAGGTTCGTAGACTTCTCATAGTGGTGCCACAGTGGGCAGTGCTGTCATAAAATATAGTTTTTTGGAATAAAACTTCTTCCTTTGTGTTTCATCATCTTTTTAAAACTTTTTGGAATAAAATGGGAAAAACAAAAAAATTGGGTATTTAATAATAACAAAAAGGGAGGAAATAAATAAGAAATAACTTTTAAAAATAAGAGTTATCACACCTCCAACCTTGAGATATTACTTTTCCTCAAGTAACAAAAATAAAAGGAATATGTACAAAGAGGAACAAGAAATCATAATTTACGGAGGGGCGTTGAAATCTCGTCAGGCTTTGAATCTTGTAAGACTGCCCTTCTTTGATCTGCGAGGGGAAAAAATTAATCGGTGGGACTTTTATCAGGTTAGTGTATTTGTCTAGATAAATTCCCCCAAACTTGTCTTAGAATGACAACAATTGCTTTAAATGATTTCGACTTTTCACATCTTTTTGTTGTGTCTTTGACACTTTCAAGAAACCCAAGAAGTGATATTCACTTTTGTCTTTTGGGTTAAATCATTTTGCTTTATTTTGTCTAATTTTTGTGTCTTCTAATTTTCCGAAGACATTTGGTACTTCAAGATTTTTTTTTCAACACTTTGGCATACAACCTCCCCCAAACTTAAACCGAACAATGTCCGCATTGGAGAAAAAACAGGTTTAAAGTGTTTGGTTTGGTAACGATGGAAAGTGTTTGGGCCAAAACTTAAAGATGGCCCACGTCTTTTTAATTTTTGCAACCTAAAGATTTCAGCAAGGAAATCGCACCTGAAATGAAAGAATAAGCCAACAATATACCAAAAACTATCAATTCCCAATAATTAACCAAAAGCAAGTTATAGTAGCAATTTATCAAAAGACCTAAGCAAATATCAATGACTGCCGTATATGAACACAAAAAGAGGCGGTCAGATAAAATATTAAACACCCAACAAAAAAAAATATTTTTTGAGTTTCAAAAGTAATGACGAAACACTGAGAAAGACAATCAATCCTTTTTACCCATGTCATCTCGACTAGCGGACGCCTCACCCGTGGCATCCGGTGTGGTGCTCCGCCGAATCTTAGGAAGTCTGACTTGGGGAGGGCAAAGGCCTCCGGGAAAGCGCGGTATATCCGAATCTAGCATCACATTCTTGTGGAAGAGAAACTTGTTCACAACCCGGTTCCTATCTCTTGTGTACAACCAAAATTTTTCTAAACATGTCGGGAGTCCGACAACTTGATCCTCGACTTGAGCGATTCTCTCGATGATCTTGGTTAAAACATCAACAATGGTCCCCATCTTTTGGTTACATTTCTCCCACTGGCTAGCCATAAGTGACAACCACACCTCCGAACCATAACCTGTAGTTGTAGGTGGTATCGACGGTATCTCGGTAGTGGTCGGAGGGGCAGTTGCGGCTGGTTTGGAGGCAGGAACAACAACAACTTCGGGCCTTCGTGGGCTGTTGGCAGCAGGTCCAGGTGGTACTTGGGGTCTGGTAGCATCATCGGCTAAGTCGGCATTCTCATGGTCCGGCTTGTGCATGCGGTTAACCGTTCCTTTGTCAAGCAAGAAATGGTTAAAAGGTGATGATATCATGCTCCGATACGGGTACCCACACGGCTGTCAGAAGCTTCCTGATCAAACCTGGAAAAATTAAACGCAAACTAGCTCGCACATTTGATGTTAGTGTTGTCGAATACGCGAGAGCTCCCACGTCGATAGGGAGTTCCTTGAGGATACAATAGACTAAAATACACTTTGCCCGTGACAACGTACGATCATGCATGGAAGGCATGATGTTGTGGTGAACGAATTGAAACCAAAGGGCAGCCTCTAACGTTAAGTGCCCGGACATCAAAATTTTCCGACGGTTGTCTTGAGACCAACCGTATCCGGGCAAAAGAAGCGCCCATGCAATCTCCTCTGGTACATCAAATCCACCATCTGTAAACTTTCGGTATGAACATACAAATGGGGCGGGGAGATCGAGCACCGAGTTTAGCTTCGGTGCCGTCCAATTTACCCGCGTTACTCTAATGACAATGGTGTCATTTTTGGAACTCCCGATAGTTGCGAAAAATTCTTTTACCAACGTGTAGTTAACTTTGCATAGGATTGAAATCATATTTTCCCAATGATGGGGAAGCAAATGGTGCTTAATGCACATCAACTTATCACTAAGTTTCGAGTCAAAAGCCCGCTCGCAAAGGAAAACCGATTATTGCGAATAGGATCTAGCCGATCATCAAAGGATGAAGATGTACTTCTATTGCGCGAAACAGTCCATTTTCGTCGCAGTGTCGGGACTGGAGTTTCCTTGTCTTCCGGCTCATAATCATCATCGTGAGCCTCCATCACCTTTGCTTTCTCCTTTTCCTGCCATTGTTGTGATCTTGTTTTCGGCCCACCCGATGCTTGACTTGAAGAGCGGGTTTGTCTTCGCTCAACATTAAGGGCTGTCACTGGGGTTTTATTGGGCTATTTACCGGCACCAACTGTCGTTGGTGTCTCAAATGGGAAAGTCTCGGTTTGTCCTCTCTCCGGTATACCTTCAAAATCAAACATAATGTCGTCCAAACCTTCATCCTCACATTCCCCCATTTGGTTCAAGTCGAACCGTGAGTGGTTTACAGAAACCGATGGTGAAGGGGCTAGGGTTGCTTCATCGACATTAGGGATGGGGTGGTGGTGGGTTGTGATGGTGCAATGGTGGGTGGTGCATATGGTGTGCTTAGGGAAATGGAAAATGGTTTTGGGGTTGTGGATGATGCTGATAACTGAGATGATAAGGCCACCCGAGTGAGTATGACCATACCATCATCATCATAAAAGGGCACATCGGTGGTTGGGGGGATGGGGGTCTTGGGGAAATCGTGGATGAAGAAGGAAGAAGGGAACTTACAGTGGCCGGACGGAGGTCGCGGAAAGCAGCGATGGTGTTGGCGGCGACGGCACTTGCGAAGGAAGAACCTCCCGTCGCCGTTGAAGATGGCTCAGAAGAAGAAGAAGAAGAAGAAGTGGGCTCAGCGGCCTATGCATTACCGCCGGCTGAGGCGACGGCGGTCTGTGGCCGGCGAAGAGAACGCCGGGAAGGGTGGTTGCGCACCGGTTGCTTAGGGGCGTGCCATGGAGGAAACAGTTACCGGTTTTCTTAAGGGAGAAGTGAGGGAGGTGAAGGAGTGAGGGAAGAATGAGGGAAAAGTGGGTTTAGTGGGGTATTTTTTTTTAAATCTTGGGAAGGTAAATGTAAAAGATGATTTGAAAGAAATGATGACACTTCCATTTTCTTTTTATTTTAATTTCATTTGACTCAATGGTGACTTCATGGTAATGATGTCCCCATTGTTGGTACAAGTACTTGTACATAATACAAGTATTCTAATCGATTTTAAAAATACATATTTTTGAAAAAAATCACTCAGAAAATTTTATTTTCACGATTTCTTCACAAAATGGCTATTTTGATGAGAAAATCATTTTCGTTTCATCATATTTGAAAAAAAAATGAAAATTTCTTACATCACCCTCCCATTGCCTTTATAAAAAAAATGCCAAATACCCTCTTATCAATTGGTAAACACTCAAGAATTGTCCTTGGCCAATGATTTGACCCACAAACCCTCTTTTCACATTTTCCCATGTTTACATATGGTGACCTCACATATCTTTTCCTTAAAAACTCCAATTTTAAGCCATTTTCCATTTATCAAGAAAAAAAAGAGTATTCGTTGACACAAGAAAAAAATGCTGCAAATTTTCCTTCAAAAATCGGATGACCAAGACAGTGGGCACAAACTTCCCACTGTCTATTCAAAAGTATAAGATATTCCTTTATTATTATTTTTTTTTCTTTTTCTCCCTTCTTTCTCTATGGATGGTGGTTGGACAACTCTATCCTTAAAGTCAAGTTGCTCAAATATCGCTAAATCTTCCAAATCTTCCAACTCAACATTTTTTTCCAATATGTCCTCAAGATTTTCCCCAATGTCACTTTTGTAGGGAATGTGAATCAATCTTATCTCTAGATCTTCACCTAAAGCAGAAATGACTGAACAATCACCTACCTCTCCATGAAACTTAAGAGAATTAAACACATTGAATTTCACTTCTTGATCACTAACTCTCATGGTCAACTCCCCCTTTTGTACATCAATTAATGTTCTCCCAGTTGCAAGAAAAGGTTGTCCTAAGATGATTGGGACATTCTTGTCAACTTCATAGTCCAAAACTAGAAAATCGTCCAAAAAAATAAATTTATCGACTTGGACCAAAATATCCTCTATTTTACCCTTAGGATATGCAATGGACCTATCCGCCAATTCTAAAGTCACGATCGTCAGATGGACTTCTCCTATTCCTAGCTTGTTAAAAACTGACAATGGCATAAGATTAATGATTGCCCCCAAATCACATAGGGCATGGCCTACTTCTTTCCCTCCTATAGAACATGAGATGGTAAAACTTCCCGGGTCTTTTAACTTGGGAGGAATTTTACAAGTAAGAAGCGCGCTACATTCTTTGGTCAAAGCAACCGTTTCAAACTCATTCAACCTTTTCTTTTTATGTAGAATGTCTTTCAAAAATTTAACATAGCTTGGCATTTACTCGAGAGCTTCTACCAAAGGTATGTTAATGTGGAGTTGCTTAAAGATGTCCAAAAACTTCTAAAACTGCTCGTCCACATTTTTGCTTTTCATTATTTCTGGAAAAGGTAAGTTCTGCAAATCTGGAGCTGGTTGAATGGATCTGTTTGGTTGGATAGTGGGCACAATCTTTCCACTGTGGGAAGTTTCAGCAACGAGCTGCACATTGCTGGAAGTTGAAGCAGGGACTGTTTTCTGGACAAAAACAGATTTTTGAATTTCTTCATTGGAAGGACTCAACATTGGAAAATTTGACATATCAAAAGCATGTGAAACCTCGTTTTGATGTATTGGTTTTTCGACGGTTTCACTTGTGTCATCATTGACTTTTGAACTCTCCTCACTCAACACGGTCACGGCTTTGATATGTTCTTTACCCTTAGGGGTTTTCGTGCCACTAGGCAAAGTTTCTAAATGTATACCTTTGAGATCGGCGTCAAATTGGCCGAGTTGGGTTTCGAAACTCCTTAACGTTGCATTGGTTTGGTTTATAAAACCTTTAAGTAATGATTCGATTGAAGCATTACCGTCTGATGCATTTTGCCTAGGCATGTGTGAGTATGAGGATTGTCCATTTTGGTAATTGTGCGATGCACCTTGCACATATCCAAGGGGATTTTGTGGCCGATTTTGGACTTGAGTTACCCCGGGGGGGTTGAAGTCCAAGATTTCCGGCCCAAGAAAAATTGGGGTGATTCATCCAATTTGAATTGTATGTGGGAGAAAATGGGCTATTTCTAGCATGACTCCCAACATAATTCACCGAGACGGGATTTCTGGGGTAATATTCATAAGAATGACCCTCACCGCAAAAGACACAAGATTCAGTCATAAGTGGATTGGACATTATGGATTGGACTTTATTTTTCTCTCCATTCAAATGTAAATTGTTTTTAACCAAATTAGTTAAAGCTACAATTTGAGCATTTAAAGAAGAGATGACATCAATTTCGTGGATGCCTGAAGAAGATTTAGAAACAACAACACGAGGATTTAACCATTCAGTATTATTATTAGAAATTCGTTCCAAAATGGCATATCCTTTGTTGTAAGTTTTAGCCGTGAACGCTCCACTGGCCGTTGCGTCAAAAATAATTTTAGCGAAACTGGAGAGTCCATTATAAAATGTCTCCAATTGAATGCAATGAAGGATTCTGTGGTGAGAATATTTCCGTAGAAGGTCCTTAAATCTCTCCCATACATCCGAAACCGCTTCATCTTCTTCTTGGCGAAACGTCATAATTTCATTTCTAATTTTTACATTCCTCGTCGGAGGAAAGTATTTTTTTAGAAATTTTTCCGCCAAATCATTCCAAGTTAGGATTGAGTTTGGTGGTTGAGAATTTAGCCATGCTCTAGCTCTATTCTTTAATGTGCAAAGGAAAAGCGTCAAATGTATGGCTTCTTGTGTGACACCGGAAATTTTAAAATGATCCGTCATTTTTATAAAAGATTTTAAATGAGAGTGCAGATCTTCTGAGCATAATACCCCAAACTGACCCATTGCGGAAAATCATTTGGAACATTACCGGTTTTGACAGGCTAGGATTGTTCGTGTTCACCCAGTGGGCATTAAGTCCCCACATTGGCGGTGCAAGTGCACGCCAACACTATGATCGCTTGCAAGTAATAATAAAGTGGTAAAAAGTAACGAGATCGTTCCACAGCGAAGTGACTACTGAGATTCAGAGACTTTTCATGAACTTCTTGCACGAGTTTCGAGTTGTAAATAAAAGTTGGATTTTTGTTTATAAAAAGACCGAAAAAGGACCGAATAACGAAATAAACTTTTAATATTAAAGAATGGGCATGGGTGCAAGTGTTGCTTAAGATAAAATTAACAATAAAATGGTTAGACTTCTATGAGTTGTTCATAAAAATTCCAATCTCTCGAAAGTGAAATTTTATAACCGGGCCTCATAAAATTCCATAAGGTTTTTTACATTTACCACTTCGAGACTTGCCGATCTAGCTAAAAAGTAAAAGGAATGCGATTCTTACCCAAATCTCTTTGTGATAAGATTACCTATTGCTTAACCCCTAGCTAAATAAATACAAAATTCGTGTCTCCACGTAATTATCAAAGACTCTCTCGAGTTCTTTGTGCATCACTTAAGACGTATTTCAGATTCGTCCATCTCTGGGTCTAAGATCTAATATTAACACTTCAAAGTGATCGGTTTATCTGCGTCGAGTTTAAGTCACGTCTTAAGTGACCAAGTTACGAGGTGATAAAAGATAAAAACACCCAAATATTATATAAACATCCTAAGTTAAACTCACACCCACACTCATACGAGTAATTTTGCTAGACATAATAAAAGTAATGTAAGACATTAAATAATACTGAAATATAAATTACGTTAATATAAAACTAAATTACAAGTACAAGGAAAAAAATTCTAAATTACAACTAGAAATTAAAGACATTATTTAAAAGCATTATAATAATAAAAGAAAGAAAAGGGAGAAGGAGACACAAAAGGGGTTTTGTGTCTTGCATCGTGTCTTCAAAAGAGCTCCCAATGCCTCCTTTTATAGGGGGGAGAAAGGGAGAAAGGACAACCAATGATTACCCCAAGGTAATACAAATAAAATAAAATAGATACAAGAAAACAGCTCATATACAGCTGGAGGAAATATCTGGATGATTCTTCAAGCTGCACGTTTCTCAAGAAGCAGAAACAAGGTTCGTAGACTTCCGACAGTGGTGCCACAGTGGGTAGTGTTGTCAGAAAATACAGATTTTTGGAATAAAACTTCTTCGTTTGTGCTTCATCATCTTTTTAAAACTTTTTGGAATAAAAGGGGAAAAACAAGAAAATTGGGTATTTAATAATAACAAAAACGGAGGAAATAAATAAAAAATAACTCTTAAAAATAAGAGTTATCAATAACGTACTCAGGATGTTGAACTGGTTTTTCATTAACATTTTCTTGAATAGATTCTCCTTTTTTTTGGATAAACCTCAGGATGAATACTTTGCCCTCTTCCTTGACCTCTTCCTCTACCCTTGCCCTGCCTCTTCTCCTACTCTGACCAACTGGTAGATTCTCTTGAACATTTTCTAAGAACTCTCTCCCTCTCTCTCTCTCTCTCATCCAAGCTTATAAGAACAATCCTTTCAGATCTTCTAGAGTGACTTGCCATCTGACAATTTGCAAAATTTAATATCCACATAATCACATTCCCTAAATGTAATACGGTATCCAAACACAAATATATACCTATAAATCCATGATTACATTGGTTAGTTGTGTAATATTCGGGTTTCAAGTTTTGATTCAAGATTTCTTTATCATATATATATGTATATTTATGTGTATGGGGGTGTGTGTGTTATGTTTATATTTATATTTTGAGTTTTATTTTTAAAAAAAAGAGAAAAGAAAAGGAAAGGGGGGAGGGGGAGGTCGGCTGGTTGTGCCGCCCACCGCCTCCCCTCAATATATATATATATATGTGTGGAAAGTTGAGTAGAAAAGGTTTTACACCCTCTGTATTTTTAGAAAGTTTTCTTTAAAGAAGTCCTGCGGATTGCAAAAAGAAGAGGATTCAAAAGCTTTGATACTCGATTTCTAAAAGGTGAGTGTATTAAAGCTTTGGATATAAAGTGTTTACATACAATTTGGTAGTATTTGGAACTGGTTATTAT